TGGTGTTCCCTGCTTGCCACCCAACTCTTGAGTTCCTTTTTCAGAAGGGCAGCTGGCCCTGTCACCCTGTAACTCACAATGGGTGAGGCCCTTTGTGCCAAATAAATGATGGACTTTTACTGCCAGGTGGGTAAGGTCTCAGGCTTCAGGGTGTCTGAGGGCAGAGGCTGGAGGAAGCGTGGGCAGCTGGCTGGTTGATCACATGAGGTCCAGAGACAGGGGACCAGAAGCGACGGATTATACTCACTGTTGTATTTTCTTTTCTTCCTTAAATAATTATTTAATTTTATTTATTATTATTATTATTATTTTATTTTTAAATTTGACCAGAAAGAGACAGAGAGAGGGAAAATGAGAAAGCAAGCTGCCAGATCCAGGACTCGAACAGTGGTCGGTCATGGGGGAGTCCAGCACTTCAACCACCACGTCACCTCCCCACTGTTGTATTTTGTAATGAAAGTTTTATTGAAGTTTGTTAACAGAAAGACTAGGAGAGATTAGTAGCCCAAATTCTCTTGCGATTCCAGAAGGAAAATGAAAGTGGCACCTAGCTTGTGACCTGTGGGCAGCAGGGGAACACCCTGGGTCCCTGTGCAGGCCGCAGGCCTCAGCACTCCAACCTGCACATGCTGCCTTCTGCAGGTCCCTTGGGACTTGGGTGTATTCAGTTGATGGGTTCTGACTGTGTGTGCTAGTAATTGCCAGGGTAATTAGCCTGCTTCTACAGCCGTGGCTGGAGTGTAGTGGGTGACTGGAGTTCTAGTCCGCCTCTCTACCGGGGTGAGGGCTGAGGGCTTTACTGCTTTAGGCGGGTTGCAGAGGGAGCTCGGAAAAGCTGCTTTTCCAGATCAGCCATGTTGAAAGTGTGCACATCTGACCGAAACTTTTTTTTTTTTCCATTAAAGTTAAGCTTAATAGACTTGATTTCTCACTTTAAGAAAATTGCTACAGAAGCCAGGGTGTCAAAATCTTAGATAGAACCACTTCTCATAAAACTGGGGTTTGTGTGGCATAACCCTGGGGGCTATGGGAAATCTCACTGGGAGAAGCTGTTTCTGGGTCCCTGAGGAGAGAGCAATCATCATTAGGTCACTGGGCAGGGGACCCCACAGTGCCCCGTTCTCCCCTTTGGCACGCACAAGCAGGTACATTTCGCTGGTCCCTGGAGCTAAAGGCCTGAGGGAAGGAACCTACCTTAGTCATTGGTCCCTAGCCAACACAGCATCTAGCAGATGTTCAATAAATGTGTGTCAGTTCATTGAAGAGAGAGAGTGTGTGTGTGTGTCTAGGTGTAAATGTAGCTTCATCATCCATGAGTTCCCTTTGGGGCTCGTCTAGAGAATCTGGTCCTTTGAGCTCTGTGATATAGCTCTGGGCACAGACTGCCTGGGTTCCGGCCCCAGCTCTGCCACTGGCTCTGAGGTCCTGGGCTGTGCCAGGCATCCATGGGACAGTTACCAGATCTGGAGATAGGCCTGACACGGGGGCCTGCCTATGGGGCCTTGACGACAAAACCTCATAAAAACCCTTGTCCTGAAGCCCCGTGGGTGCAGACACGATGCTTCTCATTATCAGGTGGTTTGGGTGTCAGTGTAAAACATAGTCACCTCCTCCCAGTGCTGCCTGTCAGGGCAGGGGGGCGGGGTATTTGGTAGATGGTTAAGTGTCTGAGCAAAGAAGCCTCGGCTGTGGGTGGCTGGCAGCCTAGGAGAGAGACTTTGCAAGGCAGCGTGCCACTGCCAGCCCAGCAGCCAGGGTCCAGGTTTTCATATGGCCTCCATTCAAGAACTGTGCGCCATGGGACCAGAGTCCTTAATTGTCACATTAATGCAGCGTCCTCATTAAACGCCAACATCATGCCAGGCAACCCCGTCAATTCAACAAGTCTCAGAGAACATCCAACCTGGTCCTCACTCTAGGCAAGGCCTAAGAGCAGAGACCAACAACTCAGGGACACTACAGCTCAGGGGTACATGCCCACCCTCTGGGGCTGGTGGAAGGTGATTTAAGAAGAGGAACTCTGGGGAATGAATGAGCTGGAGCTGACGGAGACCGAGGGTGTGCGTTTGGAGTTGGGGCTATGGGGCACAGCGGTAGGGTGGGCATTCCAGGGGAGAGGACAATACCTCCCACAGAGGCTTAAAGGCAGGAAGGAGGCCGGCTCTGGGCTTCTGCGATTGCTGATCTGACTCTGCCACTCATTAGCTTGTGACCTTGGGCAGGTGCCTTAGCCTCCTAGAGCCTCGGTTTCCTTATCTGTAGAATGGGGCTAGTAACTGTACCTACCTGGTGGGCCCGCGACCGGGGGAAAAGAGACAAGCCAAGGGGTGCACTTGGCACTCGGTGCACTCTGGCTTCTGTTACTGTTTCAGACTGGGCTGAGTGAGGCCAGAGTGCGGGTGCTTCGATGCTGCTCTAGACACTGTGACTGTCCCTGCCCCTGCTGAGCGCCGTGTCAGTGGAGTGCTCCCTGAGCCTTTCAGCTGACCATGGCAGGCACAGCTCTGCCAGAGTTCTGTGCCACTTGGGAGCCACTCTCATGTGCCTCCCCGGACCCCGCCGCAGCGGCCTTGCTCCATCTCGAAGTCAGTACCGTGACCCCTTGTGGGTGTCCGTGCCTAGAGCCCTCGCATGCAGACCCCCACACAGTTCCTGCCTTGCCCTCTGCTCGGATAGCCCCAACCTCTGGCAAACGCAGCCCTGCAGGTTACTCTGCCCCCTTCGTCTACTTTGTGGCCCTCACGACCACTGAGGTGGTATGTTTTTCTGTGTATTGACCATTCCCTCCCCGGCTGGGTGGGTGCCAGGAAGGCCAGGACTCTGTTTTGTTCACGGCAGGACTTCCCAGCCTTAGAAAAGTGCTCACCCATAGTAGATGTTTAATACATGTTGCTGAATGTACGGCCGGGGAGTCTGGGGGTGACGGTGCTTCCAGCTGTTAGAAAGAGTACCCGGTCTTTCAAGTTGTGTTTCGGCAGTGCCAAGTGTCTTCCGACCTCAGCCGTGACTTTGGGTCATATTCTGACCAGGGCATTCCCTGGGCAGCCAGGAAGGAGCAAGGGACTCGGGAAGAAGCTGTGTTCCCGGTTCCCAGAGCACATATGGGAGGGCTGCCTGGGAAGGTGGAGAGCCACTTGCCCCCCTGGCCTCGTGCTAGCCTCCTAGGGACCTCCCTGCCCCACTCCTCCTTTCGCTGTCTCTCTCTCTGGTTGTATCAGGTTAGCTACCGCAGGGGAGTTCTGTTGTCCCCTGTACCCTTTGTGCAGAGAGCCCTGTGAACACGTGTGTGTGTCCCTCCGGGTGTGAGAACACGCTAAGGGCGAAGCAGAGGTTCTCACTATTAAGGCTGTGGGTGGATGAGCGATTGTGGCACAGGCAGCATCTGGGCGGAGGACAGGGCCGGGGCCGTGTGTGTGTGTGTGTGTGTGTGTGTGTGTGTGTGTGTGCAGAGAGGTTTTTAGTGTGTGTGCGTTCACCAGAGAGAGAGAGACAGAGACAGTGAGAGGGAAAGTGAGAAATCATACCCCTAGCAAGGATGGCCATGCCCCAATCCCTTCTCCTCCATTTTCCTCCCAGAATCTTGGGCACGCACATGCCTAGCATGATTTTCAAACCACTGGGTTCGGTACTCAAAATGTGTTTGGCCATGGGAGTCTAGCGACTGACCGCCATGCCATCTGTTGGCCCGTTTAGGTTTTATAATATATGCAGGAGGGCCCCTGTGTGTGTGCAGAGAGGGGAGAGGAGAGGGCTTGGGGGCCCTGGGGGTGTCTCATGAGGACCCCTGAGTGTCGTGGGCCCGCCCAGTCTCTGGATCCAGCCTCAGAGGGTCCACACTCTTGCACAGAAGCTGTAAATTCCAGGAAACTCCCTCGCAGGGCTGTGGGGGAGGGAGGCGAGGCTAATCCCCGGCTCCCAGCACTTGGAGGAGCAGATGTGCCTGCCTTGGGGACAGCAGCGAAGAAAGTTCAAACCAAAGTGTGTTTGCTCACAATAAAAGAGACGTCTGTGCGGGGCCCTGAAGGGGAGGCTTGGGGGTGCTCTGCCCGAGGTTCTTTCTGGGGGCCCATAGAGTACATTGTCTTGCTGGGGAGAGGGGGGAAGCCAGAACCCAGGGTATGGGGGCTGCGGGTCATCTTTCTTGCGTTTTATAGCCAGCTCCCAAACACAGTTTCTTGCTACTCCTGAAAGAGGCCTGGCTAGAAAGAGGTGGGGTCCCTTCCCACTGGATTGAAGGGGCCCCGCCCTGGGGGTTCCCGGATGACTGGCCAAGGGCTCACTGCAGCCAGCAGCAGGAGAGAAGAGGCAGGCGTGGTCCTCTGCAGAGGGCCATCCGGCTGTATGGAAGGCCCTGGTGGCCCCCCAGGCCCTTGAGCCGAACCCTCTTGGCGGTGGGATCCGAACCCTGGCCGGCCCCACCCCCTTCCTTCTCTGCACTTCTGGGGCTGGCCTTTCCAGCTCTGGAAGCCGCCCAAGAGCATATCTTTGAAGCACAGCAAAGGTTAGGAAGGAGGAAGACAGAAATGTCCCCTGGGCCGGGGGAGTGGGAGAGAGGAATTCCATGCATGCTCCATGGGAGCCGGCGGCGGCCTGGTGTGGGGGGGAGCAGTGAGCTTGGCCTCTGCTGTGCCCAGCAGGTCCCGCTACTTCTCTCTGCCTGGCTCTGTGCAAGGGAGCCCTCTTCCCGGGCCACAGGCGGAGCAGTGGCCCTTTTTTACAGCGCCTGCTTCAACCTTGGCTCACAAGGGTAAGAGCCAGGCCCTGCAATCCGCCCTACAGGATGCGAGACCTCGTAATTGTCTTCAATTACAGACAGCGCGGGCTCATCCCCAGCTTCCGACAGGAACCAGAGCCCAGGCCACTTCCACGGGGGCTGGGGGAGCGCTGCCTGGCCCTTCTGTGGCCTCTGGGGCACTTACAGATTGTCAGGACCCGTGGGCTGCCTGGGCCTAATGAGAGCCCGCCCCTGTTGAACACCCGCCTTCTCTGTCTCCGCTCAGGATGAGACCTCTGTGAGCAGCGAAGACTTTGATATGAACGACTCCACATGGATGTCAGCTGACCCACACCTGGCCTCCAGCCTGAGTCCCAGCCAGGACGGGAGGATGCGGAGCCCACAGAACCTCCACAGCCAAGAGGATGGTGAGTGCCCTTGGAGCCACGGTGGGGGCGGTCCTGGGCCCACACGGGCCTGGGTGTCCTGGGATGAGAGGCGTGGGGAGACCCCTCAGTGGTGAAATCTGGGCAAGGCCTCTGGGGGTGGTTTGGGCCAGGCTTACAGTCACCCCTGCTGTCCTCGGTATCTTTGTGGGCCCCACTGTCCCTAGCGCTGTCCAGGGAGAGCAAGTGGTCCCCCCAAGATGAATGGGTGAAGCCCACGGTCGGGCAGCCTGGGGCAGCGGCGTGTCTGCTTGCCGGCGCTGATGCTCCTGGGCTCGTGGCTGCAGTTTCAAAGTTCTCACGGTCTGGGTCTGGGAAGGTGAATGGTGTGTCTGACCCAGAGCAGTCCAGCTGCCCCACAGAGAAAACAAGAGGTGCATTTCTGTGGCTCAGACGTAAGGTGGCAGGGCTAGGTCACCTGGTGGTGACCAGGCAATGGATCCGTCCACACGTGTACCACCAACCCATGGGACGAGACGTGGCTGGAAGACATCCAGACTCTTCCCCGCCCCTGGCCTCCCTTGGAAGCAGAGGCCTCTTTCTGGAGGTTAGAAGTCAGATGGCAGAGCTCCCAGGGGGAGCCCCAGAGCTCTGGGCTGCGGCATCTGCCTCTGCTGCACAGAACTGTGGGCATCGGGTGGCACCTGTGGTCAAAACGTCCTGTGTGCTTTGATTTCTAGGAAGGAGGTGCTTGAGGCTGGGGGACCAGCCAAGGAGGGGTCGAAGGTTGGGGCCTGGAATGTGTAAGGGAGGCACAGGGTTAAAAAGGGGTGTATGTTAACTCTGTGAAACGGGTTGGCCTTAAAGAGTAAATACGGGTAGGAGCCTTGCAGTTTGGGTCAAAGTTCGTCTCCATGGCAGAACCAGAGCGCCTGCCTCCGCCTGCCTCCCGCCTGCCTTCTCAGGCCTGAATCCGGCTTTGTCTGGGAGGAGACCCAGCCCGGAGGCAGCCGGAGTGTCTGGGCCAGGGGCTGGGGAGCCCTGGAAGTGCTTATGCGAGGAGTGGGGTGCCAGGCTGCTGGGAACGAAGAGGCTTTTGTGCCTCAGCGCCTCGTGAGGTTAGCACGACCCCTCGTGCTGCGAGCTTCCCAGACTAGGACTGCCTCCCCCTGCGTTCCCACGGCGGTGCTCTGGGGCCTCCGGGGCCAGGCCTGCCCGGCCGCAGTCCACCTCCTCTGAACTGATCAAGGCCATGTGCCACCAGCACTCAATGAGGGCCTTTGGAAATGCCATCCTGAGACCGCTTTTTAAAAAAACCCAATGTTCTAAGACTGAATGGCGGCCACGTTCTCCCTACTCATTTCCAAAAAGTCTTGTGTTTTATTCCTCACAACCACCTTTGGGAGCATGATCATTGTGGGGGACATCTCCTGGGGAGAATGAGAGATTTGGGGCCTTCAAGATCAGGCAACAGAAGGTGGTCTCTGTGGGGCCACTGGGCTTGGCTTCTGTTGCCTGAGTACCTGGAAGTTGGCTGGTCACGAAGACAGGGCTGAGAGACCAAGGGACCAGAGGTCTCAGTGGCTTGGTCACAGGAGCTCAGTGCAGAGACTGGCCAAGGGGAGTTACACACCCTGTAGGGCCCTGCCTGGCCATGGACACAGGGCTGAGGCCGGCTGGCCTATTGAAGGGACAAGTGTGTTTATCAGGGTGGGTAGCCAGAGCTGGGGACAGGGAGGATGGTGTTGACTGTGGTACCACCAACTAACTCATCAGAAGCTGTGGGTGGAGGCTGCGGACCCATGTGCTGGCCTGAGGCCACCATGGACCCAATGTAGGGGCCATGGGCTTTAAGGAAGCCCAGACGGCTAGTCTGGTCCCTGCTGCCTTCTGGTCCCTCAGATCTTTTGGTGACTGCTCTGTCTGTCCAGAGCAGTGGGTTCTCAAAAGGCTTTTGGCTGGGCATGGCCTAGAGTCCTTGTCCACCCCCCAGCAGGACATAGCCCGCGTCCCTCTCCGAAGTACCTTATGTGCACAAACAGTCCAAGATCCACTCCCAGGAGTGAGTCACGGGAGACTGTCAAGGGCTTTAGGATCTCCTGGTCCCCGTTGTTAGTGAAGGACTGGGGTGGGGACAGGCTAAGCAGCTGGCTCAGAGGAACCCTGCCCACCACACCCACCCCCTGGTCTGTCTCCACTCCTTGCCACCCCTCGCCCCACCAACTCCCAAGTGGGCTGAGCGTGTGGCCTCGGGCCCTCTGCCCCTCCACAGACCCAACAAGTCAGAAAAATGGGTGTGTGAGGCCCCACGTGAACCCTGAAAGGTGGGTCCTGTGCCAGCCTTGGCCTCTGTTTGGCCCCTGGGACTCTAATTTCCTGCCTGGCCACTCTAGCTAGGGACTTGCTGGAGGTCGTTGCCTGAAAGGATGACTGAATGTTTATATTCATTGAGACCTACCCCCGTGGTACCATCCGGGGGAGGCACAGGCCCACCCCTTTATGGGAAAGTTGGGTACTTTGATACTCCAGCTGAGCCACCTTGGGTCTCTTTCCTTAGCTAGAAAAGTGCTGGGACTCCCCGACTGTGCGGGTGGCATATCCCACCCCCGCCAGCCTGCGATGCCACCCAGAAGCAATTTCAAGAAGCAAGGCAGATTGATACCTATTGGTGGGTTTGCTGAGCACAAGGGTGGCTTGTGAGCACCCCAAATACTCCAGGGCAGTGCCCTCTGAGGTTCCAGACAGGTTCTTAGAGAAACACTCTGTCCCACAGCTGGCTATGCATGTGGAGAGAAGGTACCTGGGACAATCCCACCCTTGAGACTTTGTCCAGAGACACTGTGGTCTGGCGTGGCCTTAGAGCTGAACAGCACATCAGTGCGGAATTACGCCCCGTCTGTGGGACGGTCTGTTCAATGTCTGTCTCCCCCTTGTACTACCAGCACCCTGAGAGCCAGGACCCCAGCACTGAGCTCAGGGCCTGGCTTTGCACACGCACTGGGGGAGTGTTTGTTGAAGGAACAAGTGAGCGGATGAAAACTCAATGAGAGGGACCAGCAGTTAGTGTAATGGCTATGTTGCTGGATTCCCATGTAGTCAACCGCCGTTTGGGTCCCAGACCCGAAGGCTTAAACTCATGCCGGGCGCGTGTGTGGGCGTGCCCAAGATCCCGAGAGGAGAATGGAGAAGGGATTGCGGCGTGGCCATCACCCTTGGGGGGTGATTTCTCGCTTTCTGTCTCTCTGTCTCTTTCTGGCGAGCGCACATGCCCTATAGCAAAAACCTCTCCTAAAAAAAAAGTGAATGAGAGGCTGGCCATGGGGGCACGTGCTGGCAGATGCTGCTGCTCTACATCTGAGGCCACGTAGAGGCCTAGGTGTGGTTCTGGCCCACCCGAAAAGCTGAGTGTGTGGTACATGCCTGGAGGCCCAGCTATTCAAGGGGCAGAGAGGCAGGGGATCTGGACATGGGGAGATCTCGTCCTGAAAGAGAAAGTGAACGAGTGCATGCAGGCTGCAGGTGAGCTGGGGGCTTCCTGCAGCCGAGTCTTTGCCTGGGCTTAGGGTCCGGCCTGGCAGTCATGGCCGCTCTCTCCATGTCCCCTTGATGTGCTCCCTTAGGCTTCTTACTCTGCCCCTTCCTGAGCGGAAAATGTGAGGCCTGGCCTCCAGAAGGGATGCGTGGGGGCGGGGAGCGGACATTACTCACCTCGCAGGCAGACAGGAAGCCAGCGCCTGGGAGAGCAGAGGGTCCTGCTCACACCAGCCCCGGCTTCTGCCTTCTTCAGGATGGGCAGTTGGGGGGTGCTGGCAGAAGACACATCAGTGCTGGGGCATTTTGAGACCACTTGTGTGTGCCCCTCAGGGGAGACTGCTTCTCTAGCCCGGGCCTCTGGAGCCCAGTGGACCTCGGTGGTCCCTCTCTCCAAGCACTGGCATCAGTACTTCTGGCCTTCAGATCAGAAGGTCTGGGCTTCCTGAGACTGGACCCTGGCACTGAGGGTCCTTTGGCTCTTTCAGAGGCTCTTCATCAGACTTGTTATGCAGATATTGAGCACCACCCCTCCCCACCCTTTGTCTCCAAGGAGTCTGGTTTGGCGGAAGAGGGACAGGCGCAGGGAATGAGGGATCCCAGCCTTCAGCTTCCTATGGGCGGGAGCTGGCTTCATAGACATGTATCTGTGGTTCTTCTTATTTCCCAAGTGCTACGTTCACTGTAGAAACTTAGAAGACATTAAGGAGCAAAAAGAGAAAAAAAAAATTAAGAATACCAATGTTTGGGGGTCGTATTTTCTTAGATTTTATATGTTTATAACCAAAGCTTCGTTCTCTGTTTACAAAGGGGTGGGGGGAGCGCATAGTGCAGGAGGCCCCCTTTCCTACCTCTGTCCCCGTCACTGATGGGGATGACCAGAGGTCATCCAGGCTGCCCAGCACCTAGCAGCCCTGTTCCTGAGCCCCGTGTGTGCCCGGCCATGGCCCTGTGAGCTCACAGCCATGTTGTCTCGAGGGGGAAGTAACTTGCCCAGACTAGAAGGAAGTGGAGCTCTCCAAAGCCAGTGTTTGGGCCCCTCCTGTGCAGGGACACCTTGGACCCTGTTTTTTGTTACTCTTAGAAGGGCCACAGTGAGTCCCCTGTCCTGGGCTTTATTCCTAGCTCCGAATGGGGTAGGGGACCCTCACGTGGCTGTTGTGAGTCTGTCTGTGGAGATGGGACCAGGCAAAGGCTTTCTAAAGAGGTGGAGGCAAAGGCAGAGGCCAGGCAGAGTGTGGCTTTTGGGAAGAAGGGGCCCAAGGCAGCCTCGTGTCTGCAGGAGGCTGGGAAGGGAGGAAGATGGAATATGCGGGTGGGGGTGGGGCTCCTGGGGGTTTCCCAGCCAAGAGAGCCTGTTGTGAGACTGTCTGTGGAGATGGGACCAGGCAAAGGCTTTCTAAAGAGGTGGAGGCAAAGGCAGAGGCCAGGCAGAGTGTGGCTTTTGGGAAGAAGGGGCCCAAGGCAGCCTCGTGTCTGCAGGAGGCTGGGAAGGGAGGAAGATGGAATAT